ACCAACCACACCCAACCCCCCCCCCCCACCCACAACCCCCCAACAACAAACTAAAAAAACACACCCACCACCCCACCACACCACACCCAAAACCAAACCCAACAACCCCCACCCACCCAACACCCCACCAAACACCAAAACCCCACCAAACACACCACCCCAATATCACACCCACACCCACAAACCACCCACCACACACCACCAACACACACCAACAACAACCCCCCCCCCCCCCCCCCCCCCCCACCACCAAACACCACAACCCACCACCACCCAACCACAAAAAACACCCCACCACCCAACAAACACCCCACAACCCACACCCACCACCCCACACCACCCAACAAAACCACAACCACACCAACCCACACAAACCCAAACCCCCACCCACAACCAACCCCACCCCCCAACACCACACCCCACAACCAACAAACCCACACCCCCCCACCAAACCCCACACAACCACAACACCCACCCACCCAACACAACACACCCCCACCCACCCACCACCCCACCCCCCACCAACCCACAACCCCCACCACAACCACCCACAACACCAACCCCACAACCACACACCAACACAACCACCCAACCCACCCACCCCCCACCCCACAAAACACCCACAAACCAACCACAAAACCCACCAACCACCCAACAACACCCAACAACCACCAAACACCCCACAACCCCCAAAAATCAAAACACCACCACACCATCCCCAAACCCATCACCAAAAAACCAAAAAAAATACACCCCCCCCCACCAAAAACACACCCACACAAACCCAACCAAAAAACACCATCAAATCTCAAAACAACAAACACCAAAAAAACACAACAACTAAACCACACCAAACCAAAACACAATATAAAACTAACACAACAAAACCCCAAACTCAAAAAAAACACACAAAATACCCCACACCCAACCCCCCCCCACACCCCCCCCCCACCCCACATATAACAAAACCCATAAAATCACACACCCCCACCCAAATACAATCAACAATCTATCTATAAAAAAAAAAAAAAAACCCCAATCAAAAAACAACCCCCCCCCCCGCCCCCCCCCCCCACACCACCCCCTCCTCCCCTCTCAATCACCGCTATCACCAATACCAACACAACCCCTACCACCAGGGGGGAACATTCCACTCTACTTACACACATATCTATTCTAACTTATAAATTCATAACAAAAAAAAAAATAAATATATTATTATTTTTTTCACCCACCAAACACACTCAATTTAATAATTTAATTTATATATTATAATATCCCCTCACCCCACCCCCCCCCCAGGGGGGGGGGGGGGGGGGGGGGGGGGGGGGGGGGGGGGGGGGGGGGGGGGGGGGGGGGGGGGGGGGGGGGGGGGGGGGGGGGGGGGGGGGGGGGGGGGGGGGGGGGGGGGGGGGGGGGGGGGGGGGGGGGGGGGGGGGGGGGGGGGGGGGGGGGGGGGGGGGGGGGGGGGGGGGGGGGGGGGGGGGGGGGGGGGGGGGGGGGGGGGGGGGGGGGGGGGGGGGGGGGGGGGGGGGGGGGGGGGGGGGGGGGGGGGGGGGGGGGGGGGGGGGGGGGGGGGGGGGGGGTGGGGGGGGGGGGGGGGGGGGGGGGGGGGGGGGGGGGGGGGGGGGGGGGGGGGGGGGGGGGGGGGGGGGGGGGGGGGGGGGGGGGGGGGGGGGGGGGGGGGGGGGGGGGGGGGGGGGGGGGGGGGGGGGGGGGGGGGGGGGGGGGGGGGGGGGGGGGGGGGGGGGGGGGGGGGGGGGGGGGGGGGGGGGGGGGGGGGGGGGGGGGGGGGGGGGGGGGGGGGGGGGGGGGGGGGGGGGGGGGGGGGGGGGGGGGGGGGGGGGGGGGGGGGGGGGGGGGGGGGGGGGGGGGGGGGGGGGGGGGGGGGGGGGGGGGGGGGGGGGGGGGGGGGGGGGGGGGGGGGGGGGGGGGGGGGGGGGGGGGGGGGGGGGGGGGGGGGGGGGGGGGGGGGGGGGGGGGGGGGGGGGGGGGGGGGGGGGGGGGGGGGGGGGGGGGGGGGGGGGGGGGGGGGGGGGGGGGTGGGGGGGGGTGGGGGGGGGGGGGGGGGGGGGGGGGGGGGGGGGGGGGGGGGGGGGGGGGGGGGGGGGGGGGGGGGGGGGGGGGGGGGGGGGGGGGGGGGGGGGGGGGGGGGGGGGGGGGGGGGGGGGGGGGGGGGGGGGGGGGGGGGGGGGGGGGGGGGGGGGGGGGGGGGGGGGGGGGGGGGGGGGGGGGGGGGGGGGGGGGGGGGGGGGGGGGGGGGGGGGGGGGGGGGGGGGGGGGGGGGGGGGGGGGGGGGGGGGGGGGGGGGGGGGGGGGGGGGGGGGGGGGGGGGGGGGGGGGGGGGGGGGGGGGGGGGGGGGGGGGGGGGGGGGGGGGGGGGGGGGGGGGGGGGGGGGGGGGGGGGGGGGGGGGGGGGGGGGGGGGGGGGGGGGGGGGGGGGGGGGGGGGGGGGGGGGGGGGGGGGGGGGGGGGGGGGGGGGGGGGGGGGGGGGGGGGGGGGGGGGGGGGGGGGGGGGGGGGGGGGGGGGGGGGGGGGGGGGGGGGGGGGGGGGGGGGGGGGGGGGGGGGGGGGGGGGGGGGGGGGGGGGGGGGGGGGGGGGGGGGGGGGGGGGGGGGGGGGGGGGGGGGGGGGGGGGGGGGGGGGGGGGGGGGGGGGGGGGGGGGGGGGGGGGGGGGGGGGGGGGGGGGGGGGGGGGGGGGGTGGGGGGGGGGGGGGGGGGGGGGGGGGGGGGGGGGGGGGGGGGGGGGGGGGGGGGGGGGGGGGGGGGGGGGGGGGGGGGGGGGGGGGGGGGGGGGGGGGGGGGGGGGGGGGGGGGGGGGGGGGGGGGGGGGGGGGGGGGGGGGGGGGTGGGGGGGGGGGGGGGGGGGGGGGGGGGGGGGGGGGGGGGGGGGGGGGGGGGGGGGTGGGGGGGGGGGGGGGGGGGGGGGCAGACACGGGGAGAACATGCCAAACTCCACTCAGAAAGGCCCTGGTCCGGCCGGGATTCAAACCCAGGACCTTCTTGCTGAGAGGCAAGAGTGCTATCCACTCAGCCACCGTGCCGCCCATTAAAGCTTGTAAATGTATTTATCATTTTTTGCAGTGAATCTAGTAATCCTAAAATGGTTGTACTATAGGTTAGAACTAGAACAAAACCTTTACTAAAAGAGTTCAAGAGTTTGCTTGATTCTCTGATCTGGTGTTGGCAAATCAGCAACTTTGCCAAGTCCTCCAAGACGACTGCCGCTGTGATTCAGGGATACACAAAAACAAATTGAATTGATTTGAATGTACTGTGATTATTAATGAATGCCTTTGTGTTACCAAATAATCTTTCCGTCACGGTCTGACGTTGTTGTTTTTGTTTTCATTTAACACATACAGGATATCAAACATCCAATCACAACAATCACAATCGCAATGCTCATGGTCAGAAAGATCAATTTGATATTTTGTGCATTCCTACTATACTATAAGAAACATAAATAACAAATCCAGAAGGGTTAGAACTCCCAAAGCAGTCAAATTGACGGTTATTAGTTTTGGAAGTGTAATTATTCAGCTCAATACATTTTTGGTCTTCATAACTTTATTTCTGTGTATTTGTTTCTGTGTCTAGTTTATTTCAGTGTCATTATTTTAAGGTCTAACTTTTACTCCCTGAGCAGTTATTTTCCACCAGTGCTAGTTACCATAGCATTTTTTCTGTTTTTAGAAAATGACTTCTATTTAATAAATATGGTGAAAAACAAAACATTTTGGGGGGTTTAATTTCTAGTTTGTCAAAATGACGGAGTTCTATAGCCTCAGAATTCTGGGAGTTAAAAGTAGTATGAAAGAAGTATGAAACTACCATAACTCCCACCGCCGTCATTTTGACTGCTCTATTCAAATCAATGACATTGTGTGAAGTTAGTGAGTTTACAGTTAGCAGTATTTTGCTGTAGCGCTAGCTCTTGAAATCATCTCTACTCCATTTAAACAATAAAAAATGATTTCATAAAAATATTGGCACGTTCATAAACTACATGAAGAAACAGAATAAGTCAGAAAGTTATTAAGACCAAACGTATATGAGCTGAGTAATTACACTTCCAAAACTCAAAACCGTCAAATTGACTGCTCTGGGAGTTCAAGTGTTGAGTAAGGCAGCATACTTTTGGAGTGGGCTGAGCCAGACCCACGATGGTCTGTCTCTCTGGCGTGGACCCCACCGCCGTCATCTCCAGGTTGTGTGGCTCCAGTTGCGTGACGGTGGTGAAGAAGGGGGGGCCTGGCAGCGCGGACCCCGGGAAATGGGGCGACGACCCGTTCACCTCTTTGTGGCCCCGGAAATATAGGGCGACCTGCTTGCGGATCGTGGACGTACGGGGGCCCCTCTCGTGCTGCACGGCTGTGAGACCCCGGGACAACAGAGAGTAAATAAACAACTTGTCTTGGACTGTCTGTTGTACGGATTAAAACAATGTGTGTAGCTGTAATCTGGCATATTTACGTTTACAATGTGCAGTGCCCCTATCAAACAATGAGTAAATAAATAAAATGGCTCCTTTATGAAAAGATCATTTAAGTTAGATGTAAACTTATATTGTGTGAATTATGGTCATGTGACACGTATATTTAACCGCATTGTCCTTAATAAATCAAATATATTGGATATTTAAGGACATTTTTGGACATTGGTCATCCCGCTCCCTGTATATGCGGCTCATATATGTTTGTTATTATTGCATTGTGTTGGAACTATTGGATAATTTATTTTAGTAATCAACAACTTTCTAAAGTCCTCTGAGACCACTGCTCGGTTTTGGGCGTTACACAAATACATAGAATTGAATGAACTTTTATGTTTGCATATAATTAGACTTCCCCGTATCAAAGAGATGGCCTCACCGTCTTTGTTCATGTTCACTTCAAGACACTTTTTCAACCGACACGCGCGACACTGGTTCCTGTGCGTCTTATCCACCGGACAGCCGCCCTGCTCACACACACAGACGAGATTACAGATCACAATATTACAGATTACAATGTTACAGATTACAATGTTACAGATTACTATAGACATTACTGTTACCATATATTACATAACACCATATATTTTAAACTATTACTTTATACTTGCTTCTAGACATTTTTACTTATTTTTTGCTTCTTATTACAGATTATATATACTGCTCCGTATATGCTAAAATTAGATAATTTATTTCTGTGGTCATTTGTCTTATCCTGTGCTGTGTACTCATTCTGTTCTGCAACTGGTGATACAACACTGAAATTTCCCCACTGTGGGACGAATAAAAGATCTCTTAATCCTAATCTTAATACAGATGATATATATCACAGCAGATTACAATGTCACAGATTATTCTCGCTGTCGCTCTTCAGGTGAGAGGCGCTGGTTAGAGGCCCCTGCGCCTTCTCTCTCTCTCTCTCGCTCTCTCTCTCCCTCTCTCTCTCTCTCTCTCGCTCTCTCTCTCTCTCTCTCGTCACATTAGATTGGATTACACCTGAGATCGCAGCGGAGCACTGTTCAGCACTGCACTTAATGACACATCAGCCAAAACACAATTAGGGTCATCAGGAGACTTAACACAGCAGTGAGCCTGCGGCAAAATAATAACACACACGTCTAACGCACGGAACCCGCGTGTACGTGCACGACGGGACACCCTGCAAAGGATCCTCAAGACGTGTTTGAGTACAGCGTCAATTGGTTTATGAGGCTGAGGAATAATTTCATGAGAACGGATCCATTATCCTTATATAGGCTGAATAGGCCTCAAATAACAGGCGAGAAATCATTGCAAAGAAAAGATTATAAAGCAGCTCTGCGCATGTGCAGGTCTCTCCATGGCCTTGCACCTACATATTTGAGATGGATGGTGCGAGATCCAACTCGGACTCTGAGGAGCACAGGGACTGGAGGCGCCCAGAGTCAGGACTAAACATGGCGAGGTATAGCATTTCAGATTTATGCAGCTAAAATCTGGAACAGTCTTCCTGAGAATGTGAGACAGGCGAATACTCTGACAGTGTATTTGCTCTGATTACAGCACTGGTTATTTATCTGTATCCCTTGATGGTTGTTTTTAATGTCCTTAATGTTTATGATGTATGACATGTGAAAGAGACTGTGAAGGAAGTTGAGTTGGAAAAGCGCTTTACAAATAATAATAATATATTATCTCGTTCCCTTCTCTCATGTGTGACGTTCCCTTCTCCATGTGTGTCTGTGTGTGTGTGTGTGTGTGTGTGTGTGTGTGTGTGTGTGTGTGTGTGTGTGTGCGTGCGTGCGTGCGTGCGTGCGTGTGTGCGTGTGTGAGTGTGTGTGTGGTGTACTGCGTGTTGTCGCCAGGCCTGTATATCTTCTCACCTGAGAGCCAGATTTGCAGACATAGGTTCTGTTCCTGCGGATGCTCCTCTTGAAGAAGCCCGAGCAGCCGTCGCACGCGTACACGCCGTAGTGTTTGCCCGAGCTGCGGTCTCCACACACTTTGCACGGGATGTCCAGGATGCGGCCTGCATGGACAGCACAGGGCATCACAATTAACAATATTCATTTCACACAAATTGCGAGGGAGTTTGACACGCCAGGCCTTTTAGGAACACAGCCAGACCCCCACATATAGTTGTCATTGGAAGTATATGATTATATGACAGAGTTATATAGACAGAGGCAGAATTTGTGAATGCCTCTAGAATCTGGACAGTCTTCATAAAAATGTACGGGAGGCCTTATCTCTGGCGTTGTTTTAATCCAGGCTGAAAACTTATTTAGCTTTGACTTTTCTGTATTGAGTTTGAGTGTTATTTTAATGAGTGTGTCTTCTCAAGTTTTATATTTGTATTGTTTGATTGTGTCACCTTACATCTGTTTGTAAACGTGTATGCTACATTTTAAGTTGTATAATTTTATACCTATATGGACTTTATCTGAGAATTGTATTGTATTTATGTTTTCTGAATTGTGGTGGGATCTGAGGAATTGCAAACCTGTCCTGTGCATGTATGTGTTAAATGTGTAAATGTAAACTTTAGAAAATTGTATGTTTTTTAAATGTTGGAGTTTTGTAAAAAAAAAAAAAAAAAAAAAAAAAAGAGATTTGAAAATGGGTTATATTGTATGATATGTAGTGTGTTCGTTTTGCAGTAGATTATGGGGAAATGAGCTGCATGCATCTCAAGAGGCTTCCCCTATCAACAAATCCAATCCAATCAAATTGTGCCTTTGAAATAAACTTGTTTGACTGATTGACATTCTTGACGCTCACGAAAAGCAGGCCCGGTGTGAGCATGGGAATGTTGCGGACGCTCGAGGGACCTAAGTCCAGTGGGAAGCGTCATATCTGGGCCCTGTGAGACAATAAGTCCGGCTGCACAAAGGAGACATTAGAGAAAGTGTTAACTTAATGATTTTAGGCCATTGAAGCTCGTCTGACTGGCTGCATCTCGACAAGCTGCCAGCTCGCTTTCATAATAGGACTCGACAGCTGCTTTATCCGCAGGTCTATAGGCCCCAGGATTAGGGAGTGACACCGGGCTTCACCAAAACCAAATGAAGTATGGGCTATGGAAATGAACTCACCGACATGAAAAAAAAAATCTGATTTCTTTTTCCCCACTCCCTGTGTTTTTTTGTAAAGATGTTGTATTCAAATGGCTGAGAAAGCAGTATTTGTATGCATATGAGGCGCGCTTTTTCCTTGCGCAGGGAAAAAGCCGTCTATGTAATTACACTGACGTTTTGCCACCTGCTCATTGATTCAGCAGTGACCCGTCAAAAAGAGGGAATAGCATGGGAATAACTCCAGCGCCGCCAAAACAATGACTCCGGAGTTATAGAGGCTCCGATTGGTGCGATGTTAACGAACACAGGAGCCTGAGACGTGGAGCCATGGTTCAGGATCCAAAAATATAAAGTCAACTTTTCAGATCTGATTCCATCCATTTTGACGCACGTGGGCAGTCGTTTGGGCGCTTTAGACCTAAACATGAATGGGGCCTTTTATAGGTTTTATTTTTGCCTTGCCGATGCAGGGTCTTTTATCACATTTATTTATCATCATTTATGGACAGTGGTCATCCCGCTCCTTATATGGACCGATGGCTCCTACGTGTTTGTTATTATTGTTTGATTCTCTGATCTGTTGTTGAGGAATCGACAACTTTGTGCAGTCCCCCGAGACGACTGCTGTTATGATTTAGGGCGATACAAAAATTAGATGAATTGAATTGACTTGAATTATATATTTTCCCGAGTCAAAAACCCTTTTTTTTTTTTTTTAAATAGGCAGTTAAATAAAATGAGGTAGGCCTGGATTTGTGTTGTGAATGGGGGAAATGTATTTAACTTCCCCCGGTGGGGTTCCAATTTGTCCTCATTGAGCACATAATTGCTTGAAGATATATGGCATATTCCATTACGGTAATCACCATCAGGACTCACGGGAACAGGAGGCTTGGGAGCGGCACATGTTGCCACCCAGAGACGGGCTGTACACAGACAGACACACACGGAACGTTCTCATAAACTACTAAACTGATGAAGCTTATGAGTGAAAAACAAAAAACTAAAATTTTGACATATAAAAATGCGTATTGTGCGCGGTGTTCTTAGCCCTAACACACCCGAGCACATGTTTTACTGCAGGTAGAAAATAAAAGGTTCCATTTGCCTAAAATTAACCTCCAAATACAACAACTCCATACCGCCTATAGAGGCCTAAAATGTGAATACTAAAACACCAGGTTATGCTCAATAAAGTATCGTCTTTTATATTTTTATAGTTTCATTAAACTGGGTAATAACAGCGCACATGTCTCACTTAAATCACCAGTCGGGGAACTATAGACAAATACACCAGAATCACATCAGAATTATTTTATTGCTATAGTAAGTAACACGAAGTCACAAACTAAGGAATTATTTTTTTCTGATATGGTGCAAACAAGTTCTATAATAGTAAAAAAAAATAGGCAAGCAAACAAAATCTTAATACATTTCAAATACACACTCTAGGCATTTTACTATATGAACCAAGATAAAAATGTTCTTTTCCATACATGTGAATGAAGAAGCAACAGGTGTTAGACAGAAGTTACTGAAGTCCTCCAATAACACACACGATAAAAGTCACCAAAATATAAACTTTGTTGGAAAAGAAATATTGGACGAACTGTTTTGAGTTTGTTTTTAAATACAAGCCAAATATTCGTAGGTTAAATATGGCACTGGGGAAAATAACTTTTTCCTTATTCTTAGAAATATATAGAGGCCTAAGTTATTTTGGTTTTTCTATTATGGACAAAAGTATAGGATATTTGTCTGATAGAAGATCCAAATAATCTAGAAGGCACGAGGAACCTTTCTAAAGTACACAGGCCTTTATCAAAGTATTAGAATTTATGTGTTAAACTAATACAACCACAGAACCCTGCCCCATGTGAGAAAATATAGTCCCACTTACTGGATTTGACGGTGAGAATATCCAGGCATCCACTTGTTGATCCAGCGGGCTTGCTCATGATGCGGACGCGCCGTGAGAAACGTGATAAAGTGAAATAAAATCCTCTGGTTGTTCTTGTTTCGGCCTCAGCGCAGACGCACACACACACAGATGTAGCGGTCTCACAGTATGACAGAGATCTGGACACACTGCTCACATAGTCCCAATGCCAGGGGTCCCCCAGAGTGCGCGCCTGGAGCCTCGGGACCCTGAGATATACACCGCTGTGACCGGGACCAGACCAGAGACCAGAGACCAGACCCCCGTATAGTTGAAGCAAAGTAAAATACGCACATACACACACGCACACACACTAAACGTATATTTTTAAGCAATAAAAAGCTAGTATAAGTGGAGAGGTGTGTATCAAACCAAAGCCGGTGTGACTTTGTGCTGCAGTTTCAATAAGCCTCGCTCATTTGAGAAAAAAAAGTGTCAGCGGAGGGAGGAGGGCTCGCTTCCTTCAGCCACTTGGCTTTCTCCAAACTCCGACCTGATGACGTCACTCACGTCGTGGGCGAGCGCTGTTGCTTCTGCTGCTGCCCGTGCATGTGCGTGTGCGTGTGCGCGTGCAGGCGAGCAGGGAGCCGCTCAAAACAACTCACACGTGTTCTCTTTATACATACCTTCAAGTGCCTGCGATGTAGTATATTGCAGTCATATATGGACAGAAAGAATGAGGCGGATCTAGTCTTCTCTCTGATTCTCACTGACGCGCGTTACGTGGAAGACAACTTTATAAACGTCTGTTAAAGTGTATTGTGTTATTAATTCATTTTTTCATGCTATAGTTAGAGATTTTATACTTGCTTCTTTATTAGAATCAGAATTATTGCCTTTACACTTACTAAAGTTAGGGATAATTATACTTTCTTCTTGATTATGCAAGTTAGAGATGTTATTTTATTTGACTATAGAGTGATTGTTCATTTATCTTGTGGTGTTCCTCATAAACTGTTCTGTAACTGGCAATGCAACACTGAAATTTCCCCACTGTGGGATGAGTAAAGAATCTCTTAATCTTAATTGATTTGATAGATTTCATGAAATTATGCATTCAGAGGTAATTACAATATACATTCCTTCGTTTATGGAGATTCTTTTGTCCATTGTTACAGTATGTTTCCGGCTGTGCTTACACAATATATACACACACACACACATGCAAATATATATTTATACACACAAACAAGCAACAGTACATTTGCCATAGTTTAACCATGTGTTGGTATATTTACAATTTCAATATTTATTTACAAATGTATTTTCGTTTACAATTTGTCAGCTCAAAATGGAGTGAAAAAATTTGTCGACACAGGAACCCCATGAACATGAATTAAATACATAAACATCTTGTGTACTGTACTTCCCAATGTCGCAGCCTGGGAGTCAGAGAACAATTTCTGGACATAAAGTGGACTAAAAATCTGTGAATGTATTTACTGTGTTTATTGTCCGTGTTCTCGTGTTTATAATGTCCTGCACCGTGTTGCTACGTTTCTGCTTTTACCAACCTGCTGTTTTCTGTCTGTTTGTGGCTTTTAATAACCGTTGTTTGTTTGTGTGTTTGTTGACGGCTGCAGCATGAACATGGGACTAAATGAAAATGAGAGATCCCAGATTGGTCCCACAGTGTTGCATCATAAACTACAGAACAGTATGAGGAGCACACAAAACCATCACCAACAATATGAACAGAATAAGGAATAGTTCATACCATTATGTCTTGGTAGGATTAACCGCACTGACCGACAACAGACTTTACTCTAAAACATATAATACAATCTCTATCTCTATTTTAAAACCCTTTAATGGTTTCCTCAACAATTTGGTGGATCACTTTTTCTAGTCACAATCTACTTTGAAGCTTGGAACTGAAGTTTACCTCTTTGGGACAAATCTGGGATTTTTACATGGACACTTGTTGATTAATAAGCTCTGGTACCATTTAAATCAACAGATGACAAAACAAAGATTGATATTCTACAGTTTATGGCATCGGACTCACAAAGACAGTATAATAAAGAAGCAAGTTTATAATCTCTAGCTTTAGCAGAATAAAGAAGCAAGTTTATAATCTCTAACTTTAGCAGAATAAAAAAGCAAGTATAATATACAAAATACTGTATATTCTAGTGCAAGAAATATATAGTTGTACTTATATATCTGTGTGTACATGTTTACAGCATGAAAAAATGAGACAAAGTAAAGTGCCAGTAACAGTAGCACATGTGGTTCTATATTGCACATTCTGACTTCATTTCAAAGTATTGCACATGACTTTTCCACGTGTTGACTATATCAACCCCACTCCACTGACCTGCCTGTCCCCCACCTCACACCAGGGGGACTCCTCTCTCCTGGATGACCCTCTCCTTTACCTGTGCACTGTTTCCGGGCCCCCCCCCATAGGCCCCTCACACTGACACCTGACCTCGACAGCTGCGCTCTCGTCTCGCCGCTGCAGAAATCCATATTCTGTTTTAATTGTGCCTATTCCCACGGTGCACCGCGGGCCATATGGGCTCTCAAAGTGTAGATTTAAGCGGACAAGGCGAGGCGGAGAGGCGTAGTTAATTGCAATTAGCTATTGTTGTGTCTTTCAACCTGGCCTTTAGCTGAACGGCTAAGTCCGATACTAACAAGGGAGAGCAGGAGTCACTGTGATCTGCTTTTGATTCGAACGGAAAGCCATAGAAGCCCATAGAGAACCACAGGGAGAACCATAGAGTACATGTGCTCTATTGGGACCTCGAGCACAACCCGAGGAGAGTTCAACCAGCCGGGCATAATAGACTTTTACAATGGAGGTCAATAGAAAAGGCCTGAGTAAAGAATAGTTGAAACAAATAGGGTGGTTAAAGAGTCTTATTTAGCAGTGGATTATGGGTAATATTTATCAGGATCTGCTCAAGCTGGAGAACTTTTGGAGTACACTTTTTGTTTCATAAATTCATGTTGTGTGTTCCCAGAAAGAGATTTTTTTAAGTAACAGTTTGTGATGAATCAGACCACATCATCTCCAGTGTTCAAGGTGAGTTTATTATCCCAAAGGGCAGCAGCAGAAAGACACACACACACATATACACAAGGAAAGGATAAATACACAATATTAGGATTACAATGGTCGGTTTGAACATAAAGTATAATTATATTTGAATACATGGTGTCTTCTACTGTATAGGAAACACTTGATCTTATACATGCTGAGAGCTGATTGGCTGAGAGAGGCCTGGCGCTGTCTATTTTTCTCCACTGTAAAAGCTGATCCGCAGGTGTGAGGCCAAAAACAGGTGAGAACAGGTGAAAACTGTGGGAAAACTTTATTGATCTCACAATAGAGAAATCTGCACATATAGTGATAAAAGCTCATAATGTTGAAAGAGAGGAACTTTTTTTATTTTACAGGATTTTAAGTTTTTTTTGTGGTTTGCAAGTTAGGTACCAGGAAACTTTGTAATTCACAATTAATTAGAAATAGCCTTTTTATTTTAATCTTGTGATTATTATGGTAAAAAAAAACCAATTCATTTAAAGTCATTTCACATCACAGATTTTTGATTCTTCATTATATTTGAGCATATCTTTGTGATGGGATCCAAGGATAGATACTGTATATAGGATTATGTCATTTGCAAACATAGAAAATATCAGGTAGTTTTGTGAAAAGCCAGATCTATTTTAGTGCTTTAAAGTGATAAAGTTTCATCCATTTTTGAGCAAATTCTTTCACTTTTGCCAATAACAAAAACATGTTGAGGATTGGAGCTGGAGGATTACAACTTTTCGTCACATTTTCCTGTAGTTTTTTTTAAATGTATCTCCATTGTCCATATATGCCCAGTGTCTGACATTTTACTATACAGTAAAAAAAAAAAAAGAAAAGAAAAACTAATTGAAAAGGAGAAGTGCAAATTATGTTTCCTACCACTTTTTTTCCAACTTATTTCCTACAATTTAATTCTTTTACAGTATTAAGATTAAGAGCGGCCCTCAGTGTCATTTTATGTGGCCTTGTTCTAAAGCCCAGTATGTCGCTGACTTCATCTGCACATACCGTGGTTTTTGATTGTGTCACTTCTGTTAATGGTGCTAATGTAGCTGGTGAGATGGTAAACATTTGTCATTCAGCCAACTTCAGCGCCGTTATAGATCTCATCAAGCTCAGAACAGCCCGATGCCAGTCAAGACAGTTTTTCAGCCCGTGATGTCGGCCCACCCCTGCTATCATGCTGAAGTTGGAGATTTTTAGACTTCTTTCCTTATTCTGCCAAATAAGGAGATTTTATACTGTTTCTTTTTATGCCAGAGTTAGAGATTTCTTTTATGTTATTATAGAGGTATTATTCACTTATTGTGTGCTGTGAGCTCCTCATTCCTACTGCTCTGTAACTAGTGACGCAACACTGACATTTCTTCATCAGGGCACTTTAAACATACCAATAAACTAACAGCGTCACCTGATCTTTATTTCCTCTACATACGCCTTATGGAAAACGTGTCGAATGTGAAATATCTCAGAGAAAGTGACTTGTGGAAGTTAATCTGGAGTGTGAGTGTGTGTGTGAGTGTGTGTGTGTTTGTGGGTGGCTGTTCTGTGTGTCAATGGTGAATGTGTGACCATAATCTCCTTAACTCGTCCTAATCCTGGTCATTCAGCGATAGCCTTTACTCAAATATGAGCGACATGATGGTGGCTGGAGCCGCTGCCTTTTCTCTCTGGCTCTGATTGACTCCGCTCTCTCTCTCTCTCTCTCTCTCGCTCTCTCCAAACTCCAAATGAAGCAGTGCATACAAAAGCCTATGTTTATCTCCCGCTATATACCTCCAGGTCTCTTCAAACTGCTTCAATTTCCTATCGTCGAAGCAGATCAGACAGACTTTTGAATGTTTTATAAATAATACATAGAATTTATAGAGAATTTAATGATTTTTTAATTTCTTTTTCAATCCCTTTTGTGATTTTAATGGTTTGATTTTCTTGTATAAATTTAATGCACTAATGTTTTTAATTACCTC